CCCCAAAACCCCAAAACCCCAAAACCCCAAATGCTGAAATATAAGTAAATAGATTGGTAAGAAATTAGGAAATTAATAGTTAATGCTTCTTCTCATTTTGAATTTTAATCAATTCTTCAAATTCTTATCTTATTTTGATCGTCCTCTTTTGCATTAGGCTAGTTATCTTTATCATCGTACATTTCAAACTCTTATTCTTTATTGTTGCTATTATTCACACTGCTATTTTAAGTTGAATCACTGCCAATATTGTTCTGCTGTTGAATTTCTTCATAAGGTAAGGGCTGATCTCTCTTTTGTGATTTGAATTTTCCAAACATTCCAGAAATAGCATTGCCAATTACTCCTACTTTTTCTTTGGCAGCTTGACTAGCACTACTCAATTTAGGGTTATTATCAATTTTTTCTCCTACTGCATTCTTTGCTACCTTTGCCTTGTCAACAATATATCCTCCGACAAATTTCCCTCCAGTTGCAATTTTTCCAGCAGTTTATGAAGCCACATTTGTTACGCCTGATTCATCAAACTTGGTCTTTACTTTAGTTCCAGTTTCCTTAGCAACAGTTCCTGCTTTCTAATACATCTCTTTAGCAGAAGTTGAAGCCTTTTAGATTACATTAGAGGATGCCATCTTGTCAAATAGTGAACCAGCTTTGGATTTAAAAGCTGAGAAGTACTAGTTAGCAGTGGATGAGCTTTAATGGCCTTCTTTTGTTTACTATTCACTTCCATTATTTTAGTTATCCATCATTTACACATCAATATCCTTCAATTCCTCTTCTATCTAATCTTAAGTGTTAGCAGCATCTTAAGGCGATCTAGTTGGCACTGATGAACCGTCAGTCATCAATCTGCCGTCATCATAATCTGGATCATCTTCACTAAACACAGTATTAGTAGCCATTGAAGCAAGTTTCCTTCTATAAAAGTTGGCAGCTTTAGTCATGTACTTAATCTTTGGCTTTTCTGTTTCAAGATTATACTTCTCTAGAAATTCTTTGAATTGCTGATTACCCCCTACTTTCATCATAGCAATATGCTTTTCTGTCCAGATATCTAGATTTATCGACCTGACCTAACTAATGGTAGTGCCTAGTTGTCTATGCTCTGATGTACAAACGAAGCATATTAGAATACCATGAGTAATTGATGCCCATTGAGGGGCTGCACTCTTACAATCGAAACATCTATTGTTAGACTCTGAAGAAGTGTAGGAGCCGAAAAATTGGTCAGTCTTATCGTAAATCTTTTTGTCCATTATTATTTTAATATACTATTATAAAACAATTATTTATGGACTCTTAGCACAATACATAAGAAATTTTAGATTTAAATCTGATTGATAATGTTGATTTGAAAGCCCTTTGGAATTAGAAAATTGTTGAGCATCAGCAGTCTGGGAGGAAAATATTTCAATCATAAGTGAATGATTTCTAAAGTTAGTGGGTTGAGATTTCAGATGGTGTCAATGTTCTGATTAGATTCAATCAGTATTTTCTCAAAAATGTAAGTATTCCTTCATAAATGAATTATTACGAGTGTAGAAAAGATAGAGTTAATTTAGAGAAGTTCCTGAGAGTGAATTCAAACTATTGCAGCCATTTAAGCATGATGAATTCCACTTTCTAAAAACTGATGAGTGAGAAAATGTGCTCAAATATAAAGCTCTCTACCAAGAATCAATATCTGGTGTTGAGTTTTATAATGTACTGAAAGTGAATATTTCACCTCTTTTCGATTAGCACTTTGTGTTCATTCCTTTCGCTAACAAGTACTTGCCCTAGTACTTAAATGAGGAAAACTAATTCAAAGAAGCCTTAATGATTTTCAAGTTTATCAAAAACCCCGGTGAATATATCATCGGATTGAATAGTGTAGGAGGTAATTCCTCTATAAATCATCTACACTTCTAAATTTTCAATACTTAGATCATAAAATAGGACAAGTAAGTAGAATAAGAATTCTCTATATACTTAGATCAAATCAATACAAAGCCTTGTTTCGAAATCGATGATGATTTTTAGATCCATCTGCATGATAAATTGTTGTTTAATGGAGTGGTGATCCGAATGAAGGGAGACAACAACCTCGCAAAACTAGATGATGATTAACAGAATAGACTCTGTAGAATCGTTTGCAAAATTGTAAACTACATGAATGAAAAAAATCAGCCATATAACTTAATCATGAATACTTTGGGGATTCATGTGATACCTAGATAGAACGACAATCTAATTGATAAGAATATTTTAGGTATTGCTTTTCTAGAACTTTATGGAGCATTGATACTTAAGTCAGGAGAAATATGGGAATAAATTAGACAAGCTCCTCAACCAGAATAAGTTGAAGCTTTATAAATAATAAATAGGACAAGTCATAATGAGATTTACGAAAAAATTGATGCCAATATATTTGAACTTATCAGAGAAAAAGTAGGTATTGATGATGAGACATTTACCATCTTCTTGAAGGAAATTAAGACTATTTTATTACAATATGAAAATTGACAATTTTAATTTAGAATCTCGTAGTTTAATTTTATAACTAAACACTATAACAACGGGGTTTTGGGGTTTTGGGG